TTGCCAAATGAATCTCGAAATTAATTTATCCCATTCTATAAACTCTTTATCTGTGACCTCAACCGGAAGAGTGCCGAAAAGAAAAATTAATCTTGGTAACCAGAATCCGAATCAGACATACTTTAATAATCCCAGAGGGAAATCACTTTTGTTACATGCTCCAGATATACAAGTAACACATCTGACTTAATTATTTCTTTTCCTGAGTAAAAACCTGTAACTGGAAATAAACTCCATTTCCCCATGTCCGATTTTATTTTGGTAATTAGGGGGTTGTAATTACTACTTTTTAAGCCAGATAAATAACGTGGTATTTCTACTCCCAAATACCTCAGAGACATTGATGACCAGTTCCAGTTAAACTGCTTTTTGATCACTTCATCTGGAGTGCAGTTGAAACACAGAACCTGGGTTTTCCTTACGTTAGGTTTGTAGGCCGACATGAGGCCAAACTCATCCAAAATGTTCTTTATGGCTGGAAGCGAGCCGTCTGCTTGTATATTAATACGTCATCAGCAAATAAAGCTATGTTTTGTTTCCCCCCCCCTCCATTAGTTTACCCTTTATATTTCTATCCTGTTTTATCTTCCAAATATATTGCAAATAAGAGTGGACTAATGGAGCAGCCTTGGCGACGACCTCGTTCCAGCATGAAGTGGCTAAATAAACTCCCATTCATTTTCATCATAGCTGTAGGTTGGTGGTATAACCATTGTATAGTTTTGATAAAAATATAACTGAAACCAAATTTCCTCATTACTCTAAATAGAAAGCCCCCCCTGACAGAATCAAAAGCCTTTTTTACATCCAAACCTAATGTAACGGCTTTAGTTTTCATTCTAATTATATTTTGCATCACTAGTAATGTGTGCCTAACATTATCTTGTGTTTGTCTCTGTTTTATGAAGCCTGTTTGGTCTGAGTTTATTATATCTGGCCAAATTTCTTTCAGGCGTTTATCCATTACAGCTGTAAATAACCTATAATCTAGATTAAACACACTAGTTGGTCTATAGTTGGAACATTCCAGTTGATCTTTTCTGTCCTTGGGGATAACAGAGATGTAGGCTTCTCTCCAGGAGATCAGTATCTCTCAACTCTTCAAGACCCAATTAAAAGTATTTTTTAGAAGGGGAATCAATGGTTTCCTAAGTAATTTATCAAATTCTGAAGTGAATCCGTTCCAGGAGTTTTATTGGTCTTCAGTCTGGAGATTTCTGAGTTTAATTCTTTCTCTCTAATTTCCCTTGTCAACATCTGATTTTGACAAGGGAAATTAGAGAG